CAAAATTTTATTTTTCACTTAAGTTATATGTCTTTCACATCTTGGTGGAAACTGGGGAAGTGTATCAGGGGGAAAAGCATGTGGTCTTTGTTCCACACAATCACTCAAAGCCTTGGGCTGGTAGAGATTCTCCCATATAGGATGGTGTTAATTTTTGTGATAGAAAAAGAGGCCACTGGTAGCAACATGGATGCCAAGCCCAGAACAGCATTAACCAGAGGGGCCTTCAGAACAGATGCACACCCTTCCTGGGTGATGTTCTTTCATCTTTGTGAGGAACTTTATCAACCATGATGACTAGCAATATTACCAACAAGACAGATCCTCCATCCATGAACTCCCATGTATTCATTGGGAATCTCAACACTCTGGTGGTCAAGAAGTCTGATGTGGAGGCAATCTTCTCAAAGTATGGCAAAATTGTGGGTTGTTCTGTCCATAAGGGCTTTTGCCATCATCCAGTATATAAATGAGAGAAATGCTGAGAAGAATGAGAGAATGAATGAGAAGAAATGAGAGAAGCTGAGCTAAGCACATGAGGCGGAGTGAGTAAAGGTTAGAGATTTTAAGAGGTGAAACATTTTTTGTTCCCTCCCAAAGGTTGTGTAGCAAGAGAGGATGGCAGAATGATTGCTGGCAGGTTTTGGATATTAATGGCTGCAGAACCAAAAGTGAACAGAGGAAGGGCAGGTGTGAAATGATCTGCAGTGGAGATGTACGGGTCGATACCAGAACACCCTTCTCTGTCCCCTCTATTAAGCTCCTCTTTTAACTTGGACTATGACTTTCAACAGGATTATTATAACAGGATTTATAGTTATCCAGCATGAGTTCCTCCTCCTCCTATTATTGTTAGGGCTGTGGTGCCCTCTAAATGCCAGCGTGTATCAGGAAACAACTCCTGAAGGGGCAAAAGTGGCTTCAATTCGAAGGGCAGACTGCAGGGATCTTCTTTGAAGTCTGGAAAGTTGAAAGGAGATGACCTTCAGGCCATTAAGAAGGAGCTGACCCAAATAAAACAAAAAGTGGATTCTCTTTTGGAAAGCCTGGAAAAAAATTGAAAAGGAGCAGAGCAAACAAGCAGCTCCCTAAAGAACAATGAGACTAATGTGAAGATGGAGTCTGAGGAGGGTACAGATGACTCTGCTGAGGAGGGGGACCTATTGGATGATGACGATAATGAAGATGGGGGATGACCAGCTGGAGTTGATCAAGAATGATCAAATAGAGGCAGAGGAAGAACTGCATGACTCTTAAACACATAGTGGGGTTTAGAAATCTTATCCCATTATTTCTTTACCTAGGTTCTTGTCTAAGATCAAAATTTCACCAGATCCTCTCCCTAGTATCTTCAGCACATGCTCACTGGTCTCCCTATTTTTGTCCTTCCCATGTTCATTAATTCATTTTGCCCTATGTCTAGTACCATTTTTCACTTCTTTTGATGCTCCTAGCAGTTTTGTTAAGTCTTACCCTGTAATTTTTGCTTTTAATTTTGATACCTCTTCATGACTTCACAATAAAAAGAATATATGCTTTTATCAGTTGTCTCCAAAATAATCTCTTGTTATGCAGGGAGTACAGTTCTTTCCATTGATACATGATTTCAGTTGTTGCTTCCCTAACTGCAAAGGCAATCTCATTTAGTTGTAGCACCTGAGAGCAGCAACGAGTTAGAGGTATGTGTTTTATCCCCCACATAATAGTCCTGTGTAGAACTGTTCAACACAAATACAACAATGTATTTTTGTGAATGAGAGCTGGCATGTTAAGTGCATCTTTAGAAGAATAGTTAGTGTAGTAGTCTTTGTTTTCTAAAGTTGATACTGTGGGTCACTTTTATGAGCAGCCTGATGTTTGAGACCTTTTTTTTTTTTTAATCAAAAACAAGTCCTTATTAAATCAGGAAAAAAAGAAAAGAGGCAAATGGACAGATATCATATCAGCTCTTCTGTGGTCAACCCAGGAATGCATAATACATTTTCACTCACAGCCTAACTGACCAGAACTCAGGGCCTCAACAAACTGCACATAGAGCTGGAAGTAGATGGGCTATTTAGGGAACACCACTGTCTTTGCCACAATATCCACATGAAAATATCAAGTAGGCATTCACAACAAATGTAGACTGTAGACACATTGGTTTAGGAATCATAGAAGATAGATGACATTTAAAGCCACCCTCTTATGATTTGAGTCACAGTGGCCTAATGAAAGCAACATTATTAATGTTTTCTGATTTAAAGGAGTAGGAAATATACATGGGTGTGTATACCCTTCAAACTTCTTTAGTGAAAATAGCAGCACATAGGTGCCTTCCCAAAACTAGTGAAGACAATGTTTTAACTTCTCTAAGTAGAAAAGAGCATGGGAGCTGGGGATATAGCTCAGTTGGTAGAGTGCTTGCCTCACATGCACAAGGCCCTGGATTCAATCCCCAGCACTACCAAAAAAAAAAAAAAAAAAAGAGCATGGTACCTAAAAACCCTACCTATAAAAGCCTGATGCTCAGTATAGAGGGGCTGGGCTCACAAAGTTAAGAAGGAACACTTGAAACTGTCCCTATTAATCCATGGAGATACTAAAAGCCAAGATCTCAGAGGACAACCTAAAGTTTCTTCATGCCCCATGTACCACTAGGTGGCACTAGGAGGCCAAAGTAAGAAACACCAGAAAGCAAAGAATGTAAGAATAAAGAAAAAGATGGGGGTGGGGGGTGGGGAAGGCATGGGAAAAATGGAAAAACTTTGGGCAAAGGGGAGGGAGAGGAGGAGGTATGGGAGCAAGAAAGATGGTGGGATGAGATGAACATCATTACCCTAGGTACATGTATGAACTGCACGTATGGTGGGACGCTACATTGCGTACAACCAGAGAAATGAAAAGTTGTGCTGCAATTGTGTACAATGAATCAAAATGCATTCTTTTGTTATTACACCTAATTAGAACAAATAAATATATTTTTTTAAAAAAAAAAGAAAGAAGGAAGAAACAAACTGGTTCCAATGAGATAAGTAGAAAGACAAGACAGTGCCTGATAGAACTTAGTAGTATCAGTGACCAAACTGGTTAGAACTATTCTATTGCACGAAATTAACTAACTCATGAATCTTACTGTTTAAAAGCCTTACTAAACAGTAAGATTCATGAATTTTATTCTGAACTTTAATGACTTTCACATGAACTTTATGGGTTCTTGCTGTCACCTAATGTGCATTACTGCAATGCCGATTTTGTGCATTTTTGCATGTGCATCTGGGAACTGAAAAAAAAGTAGTTTATTCTGCCCTTCATTATAGATTTCCAAGAATATTATATTATCACATAACTAACTACATTAATGTTTTTGACAGAAAGTTTCCCTTCCTCTCTCATTCTTCTTGTGTGTATATGTGAGTATATTTACTAAAGAGCTGAGTTTATTCAAAGTCAGATTTTAGGTCAATGGATCTAAGGTCTGGACTTTTTAATGCTCATATTATGCCAAAACAAAAAAGAACACTTTTCATTAAAAATGGGAAACCTTATTTAGTCCTTCAATAACACAAACTAGGTACTAATAACACTCTCCGTGTGTAAATAAAATAATTTGGGACAGCCAACAGATAATAGAAATTATAATAAATATATCTTATCACTTTGGTGATTATAAAACTAGATGGTTCATTTGTGTTTCAATCAGTGAAACAAATGATCAAAAGGGAAATTATCCCACAAAATATTACTGATCACCCTTAAAGTATATTGAACATAACAGAATCAGAAGAAACCAGCACTGGAGGCAAAACCATTATTCTGAACTTCTTAACTTTTTACATGTAAAGGCTTATTTTTAAGATGGCATTATAAAGCACACTGGGGTAAATGGACAAGATTTCAGCTACCCTAAGACCATTGGGACACCTAGGGTCAAAGATCCCTAAGAGAGATACTTGTACTAAGTATACCAAATACAGGCTGTGGCATTCAACCTTGGGTTCACACTAGAATCGCTAGTAAACTTGAAAGATATATATTGTATCTCCCTCCCCACTAAAATTTTTATTTCAGTGCTCTGGGGCAGATTGGGTATCATGACTTTAAAAACTCACAGGTAACTATAAGGCATAGATAAGAACCACTGCGCGAAGATAATCCAGGAAACTTAAAATAAAAATCTACCGGGGTCATCTAGCTTCCAGTCCTGAATACAAATATGAGGATTATTTGTTTATTTTCTTTTCAATTCAGGTAAGTATAAAGAGAAAAAAAATGCGAAGTTCAAAATAGGAAAACTACACCCTCCATCTCTCCCGCAAATAGCCATTACATTTATTTTGCCTTTTAAAGAAAAGTTTGTGTACACACTAGCATATTTGAATCTCAATAAATAATTTTACACTAAGGAGTGTACTCTACACATAATATTCTGTATTGTGCCTTTTAACAGTCGATATATCCGAGAATAATTACTTTAAGGACTTTAAGGACTTACTGTGCTTTATTTAACCCTTTCCTTGGGTTGATTATCACTTAGCTATACTTATTCTCTCGTTGCAATAAACATCCTTATACATGGATTATATGCATCGTGAAGAACTTCTATAAATACTGTATAGGTAAATTCCTAAGACAGCGATTGCTGGGTGCATTTAAAATTTGGATAAATATAGTGAGTTAATAAGCACCAAATAAGTAAACCGATCACATTTGTCAAACACATGATTAAGGCGGCCAGTTAGTTCTGAGGTGCTGGCAGTTTTGCCGTGCGGATGTCAGGCGGGGTCGTCATACCCGGGGCGGGCACTCTTGGGTCACGTGGACGACTACGCCCTCCCGGCGGAGGCGCGACGCGAGGGCTAGAGCTCTGGCTCGCGCAGTCGCAACCCGCGGAGGACACAGCGGGTGGGTCTCGCCGAGGCGGAGCGAGGACGTAACGGTGAGTTCTCTTCTTGCCATGCGCGGCTGGACGGCCTAGCGCGGGGCGGGGCTCGCGGGGCCAGCTGCTTCCGGCCCGCGGCGGCCCGGACTTCCGGCGGCGACGGCTGGCGCTTGTGCTGTGCGTTGCACTCTGCTCTTTATTTCTCCGAACGCGTTGGCCAGGGGTTCAGCATTGGTTAACCGTTAACCTCCAGGGCAGGCTTTTGCGCAGGCACCAGAGGCCCCCTGACATTGTTCACCTTGGGAATTGGGCCTCACCCCTGACCTGCGGCCCTAGTGGTTTCAAACATTTTTCTGGGCATTTGTGCGCTCTAAAATAATAACTGCTTTAGGGTTTTTGCAGCCCTGTTCGTCCCAGATATTTGTCTCCTGGAGTCTGCCTATGGGATTGCATCTGAACCACCAGACTATCCAAGGCGCTGCTAGTACTTCTTCTTTCTTTCTTTCTTTTTTTTTAATATTTATTTTTTAGAAGTAGTTGGACACAATACTTTTATTTTTATGTTGTGCTGAGGACCGAACCTAGGGCCTCGCACGTGCTAGATGAGTGCTCTACTGCTGAGCCACAACCCCAGCCCTGCTGCTTGATCTTAATAACTGCAGATCATCTTTACTGAAACGTTAAATACAGTTTGAAGTCACTCAAGACAAACTGGCAGAGCTATAAAGAACTTAGAGGTAGGAACCAACTAAGCATTTCCTGAGGTTAGGCCCTGCTCTAATCATTTCAAGTGAATTCAAGCACTTAACCCTCACCATGCTCTATGTGGCAGCCCCTTTCTTATGCAGCACAGCAGAATGAAGCAATTCGCCCCAAATCACGCAAAGCCTGGATTTAAGTCGAGCTCAGCTGTGATCATGGAGCGCTAATGCCAGCTGATGGTGGCCGTTTCCAGAACGGAATAGCTACAGGACTTTATTAGGCTTGTATTCCATTTTAAACATTTGTGGCTACAGCTCTTACACATTAGCGTTTCTAAATTAAAAAGAAAAAAAAAAATCAGAACCATCTTTTTTTCCTGATACATGTATATACCACCAATATAAAGATAACCATTATATACATAACTGATGTAAATCTTTGCATTGCTAAAAGGATGGTTTACTTGCAGGCTGCATGCTTTATAAGAAATGTAGGTCTACCTAATTAGTACTTACTCATATCTTCGATCATTAATCAACAATTTAGTGAGAGTCAGTGAGCCTACTATATGAAAAGAGGCCAAGCAGTAGGCACTCACTGGAGGATAGCTGGGTTTTTTTGTTGTTGTTGTTTTGTTTTTAATCTATTGTTATTCTGTCATCCAAAGAGATACAAAACTACTGTCCAAGGCATTTCTGTTGCCTGAACCTAAAAGCAAGGGTGTCACCCTGGTGATAAACATTTTGATAATGTGTGGGCCAAGTCCCCAGACTTAGTAAAAGCACCTTTGTCCTTGCTCAAGAGGAATATCAAGTAAGTACCTTTAATTTCATGTCTCTTTTGTCTCCAGTGTCTTATGGAAACTTAATGGAGTTAAAGTATTTTTCTTTAAATTTATCTTTTTTTTTTTTTTTTTTTTGGTGGTGGGGATTGAACCAGGGCCTTGTGCATGTGAGGCAAGCACTCTACCAAATGAGCTATATCCCCAGGCCCTTTTTTCTTTAAATTTAATCTGAATGTATTACCTATTTTGTAATAGAACCTAATAGTGACTGAGGATCCATTTAACTAGTTTGTAACTTTATATGGAGTTAGCACCTTTAGAAACTTAATTTTAGGGACAGACCAAAAAATGTTTTTTGAAGACAGTAGTGGAATAGAAGAGTTAAATTTTTCAGAAGGAAAATTTCACCTATCCCACAAACTGTCTAAATTGACTAATTTTCTCTATGTGTAAGCACATTCTATGTGTAAGTGCATTCATTTAAGAATCTGCTGTCTTTTTATTCATTGCACAACATGGTGACTATAGTTAATAAAATACTGTATTGAAAAAAATCTAGGAATGGATGTAAAGTGTTTGCACCACAAAGTGATTATTATGTGAGGTAATGCATTTATTAACTATATGTAGTCATTCCACAGAAAATATATACTTCAGAACATCATGTTGTACACGGTAAATAAATACAATTTTGTCTGTCAATGTAAAACTAAAAAATAAGTTTTAAAAAGAACTTAAACTAAAATAGAGACAATGTGTAGGAGTACATGAAGAATTCATCAAAGTAACCGTAATTAAAGTGAACACATGGACTCACTATTGTTTGAATGGACCATGATATTCACAGTATTCAATTAAGAATAATATGAGTATTAGTTATAAATAGTCATCAAATATCATAAATAAAGACTACCACTTATGATACATAAAGGAAACTATTATTTGAAGGATGAGATAATACTTTCCTAAGCATAATGCAAGGCTGTAATGGTAAGTCTCTGAAACCTTTATCATTTAGCCCCAGCCTTCTCTGTTCATTTCTTATCAGTCCCTTTAAAGTTCACCACAGTTTTTATTGGTTGGAGGCAAACCTTGCAAAGACTGAAGAAACTGAAATTTAGGGAAGGACTTTATTTGGACAAGCTTAATTAACTTTTGGTGTTAGTTTACATCTCTTGTATTTTGGTATTATTAAATACTAGTATTTCTATACTTGTTTTTCCCCCACCATGGGGGGAGGGTGGGCGGGACACTTCATCTACTCTTCCTCTAGTGATAAGTTTTGACACAAGCTATACAAAATTTAAATAGTTCATTCATGATCTATGTGTAAGCACATTCTATGAGGGTATAAAGTACAACTTTTTCTTCTTTTTGCTTGGGTTTTAGGTCATTTGCAACATAGACATAAAGCAGGATACAATTTAAATATTGAAAAGTAATTTTTTTAACATTTTCTCTTTGATTTTTTTCTTTTTGTAGTTGTAGATGGACAGCATGCCTTTATTTTATTTTATTTTATTTTATGTGGTGCTAAGGATTGAACCTAGTGCCTCACATGTGCCAGGCAAGTGCTCTGTCATTGAGCTATAGCCTCAGCCCCCAAAAGTAATTTCAAATATAAGAACTGACTAGATATTTTGAAACATTTAAGAAATTTTGTTTGTCATCTCCCTTGCTTTTCTTTACAAATTTGCCCTATAAGCATTTATTTATGAATAATATATTGTTTGGTTTTGCTTGCTTTTGCACTTGATAAAAATGGAAGTCTACCTAGAAATATTTAAGAATTTTTTTCATTTGCAGTTGTTTTTGAAAATAATCTAAATTGATGTAGCAATACATTTTTACTGCTTTATAGCATTCTATTGAGCAAACATAAAAATTACTCCTTCTACTCCTGATGGGTTTTGAGTTCCTTGTCTCTGTTACAGTTGTTCTTGTGCCTGGTGTGCCTGTGCACATTTCTCTGGCATATACTTATAGTGGGGTTATTGGGTTAGGTATATGTTCAGCTTTACTGGGTAGTATCAAACTGAGCATTAATTTTTGTCATCACTAGTGGTTGCTCAATATTTTTGCTTATACTTGGTGTAATTTTTACCATTCTGGGGGATGGAAAATAATGTCCCATTTGTGTCTTTGCTTTGCATTTCCTTTGCATTTTCCTTCTGAGTTTGAGCATCTTTTGGTACTGGGGACACTCAAGGACACTCAATCCCTAAGCCACAGCCCCCAGTCCTTTTTTGTATTAAGAGACAGGGTCTCACTGAATTACATGTGCCACTCTGCCCAGTTTATATTCTGCATCTTAATCCTTTGTTGGTTGTATGTGTTCCAAATTCATATTGTTTTGCCTTTTTTTTCCTAAGCCTTTTTTCCTCATTCATTTCATTTGTCTCTTTTTTCATTTTTCTTATCATAGCTGCCCCTCTGTGTGTTCTGTAACAAAATATAATAAAGGCTGCACGCCCAACTCTGAACGTAAATACTACCACCTAGCAATTTGTATATTTTGGGTACCTGCCAAAATCAAGTAAAACCAGGTGACTGTTTAGAAAGATAATATTCTAGCCTCCTGATGGTCATAAGTAATATAGAAAATCATGCTTGTGGTACTCATCATCTTTTCTAAAGAACAATATTTTTTTATTGTGAGATAAATTTTTAGAATAATGTTTGTATTATTTTTCTATTCTTTTTTCAATAATTAGATTAATTATAGGTTTGTTTTATTTTTGCCATGTTGGGATTGATCCCAGGGTCTTATTCATGCTAAGCATATCCTCAACCACTGAGCTATATACCTCCAGACCAACTAGGTTACTTAGAGCAAGGATTAACAGGGCAAACTCCAGAATACATATTTGATACTCCTGTAATTTCCTAAACTTAATTTGTGTAATACTTTCCTTTATACATTGAATTAAACTCATGCCTCTTCCTCTCCATGCTGATATGCTTGCACTTTCTCTCCTCTTCTCCCTTTCCTCCTCCCCCTTCCCATCACCTCTCTTCCCTCTCTTCTCCTCCCTTCCCCAAATGCCCTCCCTCCCCTGCTCCTCTCTCCACCTCAGTTTGGAGCCCAGTTAATGATGACATCTGATATCTGTCTTCCACATGGCTCAGAACTACCCCTCTCAAAACAATGGTCTATGCCCTTTTTCTAAACCTTACTCCTAACACACTCACATAGAGACTTTACTTGTAATAATTTCTGTTTTATAAACTTGCTTTTAAAGTGACTTATGCTCATTTCCTTCTAACATTGTAACGTTTTTAATCCATTGTATAGGTTTAAATAAACAGAGAAGCCATCATGAAAATCCTCTGCAAAAAGCCTGCAGCCCCTTGACACTTCCATAAACTTCTTGTTGGGAGAGGATTGGATCTATAGTTCAGAACCATTCTAAGCTAGGTCCAAGTGCCCCCTTTAAAAGAGTTGGATATATGTGTTTATAGGTCAGATGTTAACCTTGGACTTAAATAAAATTTAAATGGCCTGTTGATCAAGGAAAAAAGTACATTGTGCCAACTTCTATGAGTTATGACAAATTACTGTATTTGAAGAGATTATTGATTATAAAGGATGAGCTTCTTAAAATTGCGGTATTTATTTAAAGTTGATTTGAGATCCATAATTTTGATAAATACATTAAATTATAGACAAGTATATTGCTAAGAGCCAAGTATATGATGCATGGCATTTTTGGTCGAAAGGTGACGCCAGCTAGCCATTGAGATGATATGATTATGTTAAGATTTGCATTCATATGGATATTGGACTCCTGCTGTTCACCTAGGCCGGCTACGGGACTCCTGGAGAGTTCCCATTGGTTGGGGAAGTACAGTAGGAGGGAGTTCCGGGGGAGGAGCTCTCTCTGCGGTCCGGGAGGAGGCCGCGTGGGTGGAAAAAATCTTCCCGGGTGCCTACCAGACATTGGCGGCAGTTTCAAAAAATAATAAAGTTTGTTCCTGCTTGAGTGGCTCGTGATTTTGTGCCCAGCCAGACTGCGGCAGTATATTATGTTTTTAAAAAAGTTTTTTAGACGTTGATGGACCTTTATTGTATTCATATATTTATATGTGTTGCTGAGAATTGAACCCAGTGCCTCACACAGCTTGGCAAGTGCTCTACCACTGAGCCACAACCCCAGTTGCAAGTATATTATGCTTACTATGAGCATTTCATAGCAAATGTCTTAGTGTTTAACAGCACCTGAGTCTCTACAGATAACAAGGGACATCATTTTATTTACTTCCTTTCCTTTTCCATATGTAATTTCTTATCTTGTAGTAGGCAGGGTTGGATTCCTCTCAGGTTTTCTAGGCCTTTCTGTAGTTTCCCATTCTGGTTAAATGAATCCATTAAATGATTAAATTTTTGTAGCTGGGGCTGTGGCTCAGTGGTAGAGCGCTCACCTAGCATGTGTGAGGCACTGGGTTCATCCCCCCCACCACATAAAAATAAATAAAGGTATAAAAAAATCATATCAATCTTTAAAAAATGATTAAATTGTTAAAATGGAACTGAAAATGAAAGTATTAAATAAAAACCTAGACTTGTCACAACCTTTAGAATTGTAGTTATATTTTGTTTGAGAAGGCTTATATCTATCATGAACATCTAGTGAGGTTTTGTAAGATGACCAAAGAGTTATTTGGGGATTGGAAATGTACACATACACCATTTTTTAAAAAAATATTTAGTTTTTAGTTGTAGTTGGACACAATATCTTTATATTTTATTTATTTTTATGTGGTGCTGAGGATCGAACCCAGGGCCTTGTACATGCTAGGCAAGTGTTCTACCCGCTGAGCCACATCCCCAGCCCACATATACCATTTTTAAGGCTGAATATGTCTCTAACTTTGAATTTTGAAAAATGGCTGCTAAATGTTATACAGGGTATAAAAAGGTATAAAAAATCATATCAATCTTTAAAAAATGATTAAATTGTTAAAATGGAACTGAAACTGAATCATCATTTTGATTTAAGGATTGGATCAAACCAGAACCCTGAGTCTGTCCCTATGAATACTATTGAGAGATTTCTTGAACTTGGTTATTTTTTTCCCTGACCTTTTAATTTCTATATTTGGCCAAAAGGACATTATAGAGTGAAATAGAAGATAAACTTTAGAAATATTGGGAAAAGGAGTTATAGTGTTTCTATTCTAAATGTAAGCCCTTACTTGAATATTAACCAGTATTTAATTTCTAGGAGAGTAGTGGTATAGGGATTAAGTGAATTTACAAAGAAAAAAGGGTAGACCCAGCTCTTAATGAAAACCAAAGTTTTGGGAGTAAATTTCCTAGGAAACCCATGTTTACTTCATGTATATCATTTATTGTTTAACACACAGAGGTAGCCAGCATTAGAGAAGATTTTTACCTCCTTAACTGCCTCTCCATGACCCCTGCATGTTATCACCTACTTGCAATTTGAAGAAAATACAGAAAAGATAAGAAAGCAGTGAAGGAATTTAATTTGATTAGCAATAAATTATACACACTTAGTGGTCTGCCTCTATTTAGCTTCTTATCCTCTTAACCTCTAAATGTTCAAATGTTAAAGTGCTTTAGGAATTTTCTTAGACCTTCTTCTCCCCTATCTGTGCTCCCTAAGTGGTTGCATTGAACTCTATAACTAGAAAACTACTAAGATTCTCTTTCTTTAGTCATCCTCAATTTTAGTCTCCTATGTTTGACTGCTGCCTAGATATCTCCACTCAGATGTCTCTTAGGCACCTCAAATTCAGTATGTACAAAAAACAGCAAGTGCTTGATTTTCCTTTGCTGTAAAATTACCATTCTTTCTCAGTCTTTCCCATCACAGTCACAGTCACCGGCACAGCAGTTCACCTCACTGCATAAACCTAAAACTTGGAAACCATCTCTATTTATTTTTTATTTAGCGCCTTCACTCCATCAGCCCAACTTCTTTGTGCCTCAGTTTCCTCACTGTAAAATTAAATAATACCTTTTAAGTAATATGTTGGGGGTTGGTACAGTGCCGGCCTTGCATGCACAAGTCCCCGGGTTCAATCCCCAGCACCACCAAAAAAGTAATATGTTGGGGGATTGAAGAAGTAAATCAATGAAGTCTTAAAATAGAGTCTGGCATTTAGTGTAATTCATTATGCCATTGTTATTGTTGTTACTTTTTTCTCCCCCACAAAGGAAACACCTTAGTCTAAGCCACCTTCTCTCCCATGGTCCACTAAGGTAACTTTCTCATTTCCATGCTTTAGTTCTTTTTTAAAATTATTATTATTGTTTCTTTTTAGTTACACATGACAGTAGAATCCATTTTGATATAATTATACAAGTATGGAATATATCTATTCTAATTAGGATCCCATTCTTGTGAGTGTACACGATGGTGAGATTCACTGTGGTGTATTCATATATGTACATAGGAAAGTTATAATAGATTGATTCCACTGTCTTTCTTAGTCCCCCTTCCTTCCTTCCATTCTCCTTTATCTACTGAATTTCTGTCCACCCCCATATCCCCATGCTTTTCTTCTTCTTCTGCTATAATTCATTCTCCATAGAACCCAGGGCATTTTTTTAAAAAGATAGATCATGTCTAAAAATAGATCATGCTTTACATCCTTTAGTAGCTCCCCATTGCTCTTAGAATAAAGTCCCCACACAGCACTGCACAACCTGGCTTGTGTTTTTATGCCAATCTTGCTCATTATGTTCCAGAATCCTTTCTGTTCCTCAGATTAACCATGCCCTTTCTTTTCTTCAGGTTTTTGTATTTGCCATTCCTTCTGTTTAGAATTTTCTTCTACCAGCTCTTAGCATGTCAACTCATTTGCATTTGGTTTCAACCATTTATTATCTCGGTTATATTTCTTGCCTATTAGCAAAATCACCTTCCCATTACTTTCTTATATTACTCAGTTTATTTTCTTCTTGGCTTTTATAATGTATAGTTGTTTATGCATTTACTTATTATCAGTCTCACCATCTATCAAAAATATTAATGTAGCTAGTTGTGTGATAATATAAAATTCTTGGAAAACTATAGTGAAGGGAAGAATAAACTACCTTTCCCAGATGCACACACACACAAATACACAAAAAAATCATGCATGTGCAGGCATGTATAATAGGTGATAGCAAGAACCTATATAGTTTATTTGAAAGTCATTACAGTTCAGAATAAAATTCATGAATTTTACTGTTTAGTAAGACTTTTAAACAGTAAAATTCATGAGTTAGATAATTTTGTTTAATAAAACAATTCCAACTAGTTTGGTCACTGATACTACTAAGTTCTATTAGTGACCATCTTGGGGCACTTTCTACTTATCTTGGAGGGCAGAAACTTTTATGTCTTATTTCCTGAAGTGCCAATCACATAGTGGATGTTCAGAAAATATTTGTCATGACTGACAAATATCTAACATTCTACTGTTTATCATGAATGACTATCTGTAACAAGGAAGGAGAACTATATAAGAGAAGTTGAAGAACTTCTGTTGCAAGTTTTTCGTTTTAAAAATCTGCTGTGATAAAGATTATTATTGATAGCCACTCCTTGAGAATTTTACCTGCTTTTTGTTTTCAAACTTACATTCCTCCTAAATAGATTGAAAAATTTGTCTGTCAGTGTTCCAAAGATAAAAGTAGGTTGTGATTAGATGCTATATGAAACTTTAATTTCTTTCATCTGTCATAAACTTTTAATTTCTGTCACATAATAAAGGAATTGAAGTAGGTCTGTTCCAAGAAAACGGTCCAGGTTCTGCAGGGTCTTATATCATAATGTGATAGGCAGCCCCTTTTCTGTTGCCCGCATTGTGGAGTGAGCTGCTCTATGCCAGATGTATTCAGGTGCCTAACCACTGACGCTGATGTATCTTGATGTTTCCTTCTAACATGGAATTAATAATCTGTGAATATATTATTCTCAAAGTATATAAAAGGGTTTTTGGATCACTTTCAAATAAATAGACTGAATATCTGTTCTGAGAAAAAAAATACATGATACCTGCAAATTCCCTTCTGTAAGTTAATTGAGGAGAATCTCTTTGAATACCCAAAATAAAGCCAAAGTAGTAATGACATTTTTTATATAAGGTAAGAAAATGAAAGAATTCCATTCATACCTATCTGCTCATTTTAGAGTAGTTTTCTGGTTGTGCCTGAAGAGGTGGCTATGTGCTATAGACAAAAATAAGTGAGCCTTCATAGTCAAAGGGCTCAAGACTCTTCAGGCTACCTTCAGCAGAAGGCTGGAAACAATGCAGATTGTAACCAGATGTTGTTTAGAATTGAAATTAATAGGGAGTGAAGAAGTCATAAATCTTTAATCCATGCCTTAGTAGTTCTGAAATTTCCATCTTAAGCATTAAAATTAATCTAATACAAGTCTAGCCTTAGAATGGGGGAGCCCTCTCTAAGTTTGGCAGACATAAGGAGTCTCTAACTCAAGTAATGACTAACTATAATCAAGAATTTTTTTAAGTGTTTTCTTTCATATAGTTACAGGAAAATGCACCCATTAGTCAAGAAACCCAGACTCTTATTATGTCTCTGTGAGTTGTAGTCAAATAGACCATTTGCAATTTTCTTTCTTTCCTCCTCCACCCCCAACTAGCATGGATCCTGATGGGTCTGTACAAGATCCTGAAGATAAGGAATATTCTTCTGTCTGTGTTGGCAGAGAAGATGACATTAAAAAATCTGAAAGAATGACAGCTGTTGTCCATGACAGAGAAGTGGTCATTTTCTACCATAGAGGAGAATATCATGCTATGGATATTCGCTGTTATCGTAAGATTTTATTTTTATTTTTTCTATACAAATTGTGTTTATAAGTCATAAAACTATCAAATTTCAGGGTTTTAAATGAATACATGTAATATTCAATTACTTTTCAGATTCAGGAGGACCTTTACATTTGGGAGAAATAGAGGTATGTATAGAATTTATTCTCAAAAAACTCAGATGTTTCCTATTTACATTCTCCCATTTCATTCTTTATTCAAAAATAATGTATATTTGGATTTAATTATATCTCAGGGCCTTTAATGTAATTGCAGATATTTTTGGTATTCACAACCCTACAATGTAAGGGAAAACCATTTTGCAGATAATATAAGAACTATGCATGTCTTTGACCTAACAATTATAATCTGAGATATCTATCCTATGAATATAATTGCACATTGTTTGTCTCTTTATAGGAAAGGTTCATTTTAGCATTGTTTATTATAACAAAACATCGAGGTCAACCTAAACATTTTAACAATAGAAAGCTGATTAAGTAAATTGTAGTACAGTCATGCTGTGGAATACCGTATGACCATTAAATTAATGAGGCAGAACTATATGTGCTGGTATTGAGGAATGTTAACAGTGTATTTGTTAAAATAACCCAGTTGGTAAGTGGACAGAGGAACAACAACAACAAAAAAAAAACAGTGTATTTGTGAGTGATAAAATTATAAGTCCTAGAATAGTAGTTCTAGTGATATTTCATTTTTATATTAAAAAGAATATATACTTTTTACTTTATACTTTGTGTGTTTTTATAATGAGCATATATTTTATAAAATAATATTTCTTAAAAATTTTAAAGAAATTACACTTTGAAGTCTTAACTAAAGAATAATGGAGGAATTGCCTTTGCCTCCATGTATTCCAAACTAATCACCTTATTTCTTCTATCCCTGTCTCTCTACTTCTCTATCTATAACTGGCACAAAATACAAACCTGAACTTAGCATTTCACTGTCTCTACACTTGATGTCGACCTGGTGCTTGGCGATATAGCCCAGTGGTAGAGAGAGAGAGCTTGCCTACCATGCATGAGGTCCTCGGTTCAATCCTCAGTACCACGAGGAAAAAAATACAAACAAAACAGAATTTAACTTGATATCCACCTGGTTTATACCTGTCCTCATGTTAAAGGACATATGTATGTTTAAATTATGAAAATGTGTTTGCTGACGGTGCTATGAGGGGGAAAAAATCAGTATTTCTAAATTTTGTGTAGAGGAAAAATGTAAGCACCTACTTATCATAATGTCAGAATTTCCCCCAGTTCAGTTCATAATGAGAGCTTTAAGACCTTGCTATCCAAAGTGTGATCCACAGCCCAGAAGTCTTGGAGAATATTGGCATGGAGAATATTGCACCAATGCTGTAAGCTTTCTGAACTTAAACAGCACTGCATTTAAACAAGACCCAGATGATTCCCATTCTCCTTCAAGTTTGAGAAGAACCTCACTAAGACACAGTTACAAAGTTGGAATCACAAATTGCTTTTCAATTAACATTTGCACTCCTGCTTTTAATAACTCCTCCTGAATTCATATCTGGAACTTACAGTTCTTCCAGCAGCTACTGAAAGTTCCTTCAGAAGTGCTGGAAGCCTTTCCCCCACTTCTGTAGAGATGACATTGACAGATAAAAATGCTGCAGTCTTGGTATAATTTGCCTGAGCAAGTCATCTTCTGATAGAGCTCTAACACACTGGGTTTCTAATCAACTGCAAAAAGGACTTAATGACTGTTCTCCAGTTAGGTTATGCTTTATGCTGAATAATTTGTAAATGGAGGGGGAATAAAAGCTGACCTGTTCTTTAACTTAGCTTTTCTGCATATATTTTATACTAAGTCCAAGGTTATCATGAACATTTGAAATGTCCAGACTATTAAATCAGTTATTTCTTTCCCCAGGATTTTGATGGACGACCATGTATAGTTTGCCCCTGGCATAAATACAAAATTACTTTGGCAACAGGAGAAGGATTATACCAGTCTAAAAACCCTAAAGATCCATCGGCAAAACCCAAGTGGTGCTCCAAAGGAATAAAGCAAAGGATTCATAGAGTGACAGTGGATAATGGGAATATTTATGTGACTCTTTCTAAGGAACCCTTTAAGTGTGACTCTGATTTTTATGCCACTGGAGACTTCAAAGTAATTCGGAGTTCTTCCTGATAAAAATATATGACAATGAAAAGTGTTGTGTATGTGTGGAAATATTTTTACAATAACTTTGCTTCCATACCAAAGATGATTTTTTTCAACACAGGTACAATTATTACTTATCTTTAAAAATCACATATCTATGAGAGTTTAAAAGTTCATGTATTTTGTATGATTTAAGGATTACCAACAGAATACATCCAAAATTTTTTTTTTTTTTTTTTTTTTTGTATTGTGGATTGAACCTAGGGACACTGAGTCACATTTCCATCTCTTTTTTATTTTTTGAGACAAGGTCTCCCTTAGTTGTTTAGGGCCTCACTAAGTTGCTAAGGCTTGCTTTGAACTTGTGATCCTGCCTCAACCTCCCTAGCCACTGGGATTACAGGCATTCACCACTGTGCTCAGATTAAATAAAAGTTTTTTGTTTTGTTTTGTTTTTTATTTTAGAAAACCTTGTGCATGTGTGCACAACAGGTGGTTCACCCTGATTTAACTACATTATTTATGTCCAGTGCTATTCTATTTAGAATAACGCTCTGGATGCCAATCATGCCAATTATGCTTCAAGATGGAATAACAGAGCATAAGTATTAAAAATAACACTCTGGATGCCAATTATGCAAAACTCAGCAACACACTATAGAATGTAATGGGTATCTTATGAATTCAGTACTGTTAAGAATGGAACCTAGTCTCAATGCATGGCCGTCTTCATGATTTAAGCTCAAATTAAGAGTTCGAATATAATGCTTAACATTCTAAGGGGCCTACTTGGCCTCTTGGTTATTTGTAAAAATAGTGAATGTGGTATGTAAAAAAGACTTCTTACTATATATAGTAATATATGTATATATGTATGTATGTATATATATTATATAGCCCTTTGCTATATATTATTATGTTTCCTGTTGGAATATGGGCACCACGAAGTAATACATTTGTTATTGACTTCTCAGGTTATTAACAAGAGAGTTTGAGGCTTTTATAAATATTGTTTATAACAGCAGCTACTCACCAGGTATAGAAAATGTGCCATCTCTGAGGTGGGTTCATCCGTGCCTATTATATCAGGTGCAAATCCTTGAATGACCACTAAGGTCTTGATCACAAGTTCACAATTTAAAATGTACAGAAGAGCCAGGCATGGTGGCACATGCCTGTAATCCCAGCTGCTTAGAAGATGGAGCCAGGAGGATGGCAAGTCTGAGGCTAGCCTGGACAATCTAGTGAGACCCTATCTCAAAATATAAAAGATGGGGGAACTGAAGATATAGCTCAGTGGTAGAGTGCCCATGGATTCAGTCCCCACTGGGGTAAGGGAAGAGTGCACAGAAGAAACCAAAATGTCTCCTGCAAGCAAACACTATCACCCTTGTTTGCAGGGCCAGTTTCAAAAGCATTTGTTCTTAGGAGTCAATGGCAATAATGGTTTCTGGTTCTAAATTTATGTCAGAAAAAAAGGTAACACTGCCTGGTACAGTATGGCTGGCACCCATAGTCCCAGCTACTTGGGAGGCTGAGACAAAAGGATTCCTGGACCCAGGAGTCTGTGACCAGCCTAGGCAACATTGTGAAACCTAATCTCTTAAAAAAAGAAAAAAATAAAAAAAGGTGTGTGTGGGGTCTTCATATACAGAAATCTTATCAGATTTATAAATAATATTTTATGGCATTTGTGAATTGGAAGTCTTTCATAACTTTACAAGTAAGTTTGTTAAAAAATTGGTAGGTAGACTCAAACTGTGAAGCTTTCAGATAGAAAATAAATATCCTTTTATTATCCCTGAAAAGGGAATTTTTTTCCTCTCAGACACCAAAAACAAATCTTTAATAAAAGTATTATAAATATGCTGATATTATAAACCTTGGTATAAAGTCTAACCCACCAAAAGGAGAATTTTTTTGTTCATTAAAAATACTGATACTCATATGTTTATTATACATCAAGATTCATTTTATTTTCTCTACCATATAAATACTAGAGAATGACAGTTGCTTAGTAGTATCCCCCATCCTCACCCTGGAGCTTTTTTTTTTTTTTTTTTTTTTTTTTTAAGAGCAGAGCATTTGGTATATGTAAACTAGCTTCCTAGTTTTATCAGATGAAATGTGCCATTTTCATAGATAATTCAAGGTCTCTGCAGTGATGTTTGTGTTTAGATTTCTTCATTTATTTCAGCTGATTGGTCAAATACCGAATGTAAAACCTGGATCTTATTACTCTGCTTATTAGCAGGAAGCTTGGGGAGATCTGAAATGTTGTCTGGCTTCTCCAACAATGACCTGTAAGGTTTTGCTTTGATTTCACCTTCAGGAAATGCAGGCTCCAAAATCACAGGCTCTGAAAAGGCTTTTCTAAAATTTTCACTCTCTGTGTTTTGCCTTATGGATTCTTCTTCTTGGAAAATGTGCTTTACCTTCTCCAGCACAGCATTAATGCAGACTGCCTATATAATTTTCAAAAATTTTGAAAAGTGAAGTCTCTTTTTAAACTACTAACAACCACAGATAAAAAAAAAGGCAATAAAATATTTAGCATAAATAATCTACATATTCTAATAAAACAGAACTTCCTTTCAGGAAGCACTTGGTATATGGTAAGTATTGGGACATTGATTCCCTGTTCTAAATACATAACACCAAATTCTAAAGAGTATTTAAAACCTAGTATGCTTCAGTTAAAATGTGCTTTACATCTTTTTTTTTCCCTCAATTCATTAGCTGTTTCACTTCTTTATTCTTCTGACTAAATATAATGAAACATTTTTTTGAGAGATGGAATTTGTTCCCAAACATTTCAAAGTAGGCTTTTTGTTTTAATTTCTTCCTCCCAGACTTTGCTTGTACCTGTGTGTACAATGGGAAGGACATAAACATTTTGGTAAGAATTTAGTAAGCTTGCAAATCGATGATTTCTAAGCAAACACATGACCCAATTTCCACCTAAAAAAAAAAAAAATGCCATTCAGTGCTTCAAGGAGAAGCGTCTCAAACAATTTTAAAAATTAGAGTCTCTAAGAAGGATATTCACTAGATTTCCCCTGTGAGTTTTCTAACAATGAAAATGATGATGATGATGATGTCAAGTAGTTAAGGCAAGCAAAGAGAATAGAAATTTCTATGAAAAATGAACTTAAACTAGTTTATTATACAAAAGAAATGCTTCAAGATGGAATAATGGAGCATAAACACAAAAGGTTTTCTTGAAGAGGTAGTAGCAGTAGCAGAGAGAGAAATGTGTCACAGTAGATTGGGTAGAGAGAGGTGATGGGAGGGAAGGTGGGGATAGGAAGGGTAGCAGAATACAACAGACACTAGTATGGCAGTATTTATAAACGTGGCTGTATAACCAATGTGATACTGCAATCTGTACACGTGGAAAAATAAGAATTCATACCCCATTTTAATCAAATGTATGATATGTCAAGATCACTGTAATGTTTTGAGCAACTAATAAAAAAAAAGAAAAAAAAGAGGTAGTAGCAAAAGGGCTGAGAGACTCAGGCTTTGAAGAACTTCAGCTGGATCCTGCCCGCTTGCCTGCCTGCCTCTCACAGAACACAGGAGCACAGCTTTTCCACACTTCTCCAAGTTAGCGTGTGGCCAATGAAATAAAATGATATGTCTGCTGGGAAAGAGGTCAGGAAGGGTATTTGGAAGTTTTTCCTCCTACCTAAAGAGAAAGATCTTTGTCTTTTGCCTCTATCTTCCCCTTCCAGCTTCAGACACTGATATTGAGGTGATGCCTGAGCATGAGGTAACAAACCTAAGGACTAAAAACAGTTTTTAGAGAAAAAGGTAGAAAGACCCAGATGTCTTAATCTGTTCATATTGCTATCACAAAAATATTATAAACTGAGTATCTTATAAACAATAGGATTATTTATCAGTTCTGGAGATTAGAAAGCCCAAGGTCAAGGTGATGGCAGGCAGATTCTGTCTCGTGAGGGCCTGCTTTGTTCATAGATGGTGTCTTTTAACTGTATATATATGGTAGAAGAGAAAAAGACAACTCTCAGGAACTTTTTATAATATAAGGGCACTAATCCCATTCATGATGCCTAATAATTTCACAAAGATCCCACCTACTAATAGTCACACCTTGGGGGTTAGTTAACATACAGATTTGCAGAGGACACATTCAGACCAAAGCACCTGGTTTCTTGATGGCATTGTAGATCCCACTATACCAAATTAGGAACTGCCTAACTAACTACGGACTTCTAATTAAGATGATTAAATGTCAGTAACATATTTTTATATTTTTTGGTACTTGCATTTTGAATGTGCCCAAACCCAGAGCTAGAAACTTTCAAACCTATCACTTCTAACCACACATAATCTCATCCACATAACCCAATATGATCATTTACTATGCTGTATTGTGAAAAAAAATTATTGTAAAGTTCTCTCTTATTTGATATTCCCTCTTTCATCATCTACAAATTATATCTATGCCCATTTTAAGGAACTTTACTCCAGTCTCAGAAAATTAAGAGTTTTGATTGAGGTCAGTATGCCTTTCTTTGTTTTAACCTGTACCCTACCAGTTTCTCTGTCGGTTGTTCCTTTTCTCTTCAACCTGTCACTCTTTTTTTTTCTAGTACCTGGGATTTCACTCAGGGGCACTCGACCACTCAGCCACCTCTCCAGCCCTATTTTGTATTTTATTTAGAGATGGGTTCTCACTGGGTTGCTTAGTGCCTTGAAGTTGCTGAGGCTGGTTTTGAACTCATGATCCTCCTTCTTCAGCCTCCTGAGCTGCTGGGATTTTATGTGCAACCTATCACTCTTGACTGGCTCTTCCCCTACAATACTCATGAATAATCTTGCATCCTAAAATTGGAATTCCCTGCAGCCCTGTCTCTCTCTTGACTGCTATATAACTTTCTCAGTCAAACCAGTTGATGTTCTTGGTTTCCATTTTATCATCTCCTATTCACTCTAAAACCTGTTTATTTCTGTCTTTCTTATCCCAACATGTCACTGAACTAGTTCTCAAAATGATTAAGCTTAGCATCTTAAATACTA